CTCAAGTAGAAAGCAGGTGTTTTGAGAATGATGATGGCAACATATGTATGAATGTGCTTGACACAATTGATGTATGTATGGATTGTGATAAGAGTTTTATGAGCCCCTAATAAAATGATTAAAAAAATACTAAAAAAATTGTTTTACCATCCTAACTTCTAAGAATAACGCTGGTTACAATTCTAAGATTCGTTTGCAAGGCTTTAATTGTTATTCTTAGTTTCTACAGTATTATTGATATATAATTCACCTGTTATAAATTCTGGGGTTAAGTCAAATTAAAAAGAGTTGCGCAATCATTACCAAAATCAATTTTAGAAAATTTTATTCTTTCTTGTTCTCATCATTGTTAGCTTCCCAATTACCCTTAAGTACCCCTCCAAAAACCAAACTCACTGCCATTCAGGGAATTCCAACTCATAGCAACCCTGTAGGAAAGGTTAGAAAAGCCCTTGTGAATTTTTGATACTGTTAACTCTTTAGAGAATTCAAAGTCCTGTCTTTCTCCCACGGAGTTTTTGATGGTTTTGAACTGTCAACCGTGTAGATCGAAACCCAACACATAACCACTACACCACTAGGGTTCCTTCTCCATGCTCCTATGAAAACTTTTTTTTTTTTTTTACTCACAAAAAGTCTCTTACATAGTCATCCAGACTGCTAGGTGTGCTGGAAACATAAGTTCCTGCAGTGGAAGGTGAAAGAAAGAAACATTTCAGAAATGAGGTTGTGAGACAGCTAATTAGTAGGGCCTCCCACAATACATGAGCCCTGTTGATGTGGTGGTTATGCATAGTCGTTAGTTTGAAACTACCAGCAGCTCCCTGGGAGAAAGGCTGGACTTCTTTCTCTTGTAAACAGCTGCAGTCTCTGAAACCCACAGGTCAATTCGATGGCAGCAAGTTTAGTTTTGTTTTCCATAGTAAATGACCCATAGAAAAAAATCTTTCAACAAGGATATAAAGGAAAAAGATATGAAAATGAGGAAGCAATAAGACAAAAAATTATTTTATAGTTTGAATATTAGCATTCATTCTTTCATCACTACTTTTTTATTCTTTCATCACTAGTCGTTGAAAACCTACTATGTACCAAGCACTAAAATACAACTATCATGCATATTATGTTCTAATTTTCTTAGAGCTTTTAATTTCACTGAAAAAAACCCACAGATTTTAAATGTGATAATATCATCAAGTATTTAGTAGGGGTTATCAGAGCACCCAACAAGTTAAACAAAACCAAACGTGAGAACATTCCTTCTAGCTGAGATCAGAAGAATGCACATATACTGTTCAGGTGAAGGACAAAGAAAGACTAGCTAAAAGGTCTAGGAGCAATAGATCACATGCAATTGAACTTAGACGGGAAGTGAGCATTTGGGATTGAACAGAGATAAAATGGAAAAGACAATGCATGCAACTGACAGTTTCATACACTTTCAAAACATGGTAGTTCTTCAATATCTGTTTAGTGTAGACAAAGCTGAATTTGAAAAAGCTTTTGTGTATGTGTGTGCATGTGTGTGGGTGCAGGTGTGCGTGGTACCTATGTGTGTTTTGTGAAAGTTCTTTTATTTTCTATTCCTACTCCAAGTCTGTCTGCTTCTGCAGAAAGCAGTCCGTTTATATGTTGCTATCTAAATCCATTGAACAAGGGAATCTGACTCAGTGATACAACATTTCTCATTTATTCCTGTGGTATATTATTACCCTAATGTATATTCATGTTTAGAATCCTTAGCATTCTCTTAGATGGAATAGAGTATAGAATTTACCTAACAAGGGTAAAAATTAACTCTCTTTCTTTTACAAAGCAATCTTCCCTACGTTTAAAATAAATTACGGGTGTAAGTTTTTCTAATTTGTTTCTCAGGCACCATCATGTTCTTCTTTTTAAAATTATGATAGCCACCAATAACCACATAAAATAAGATTACATTCAATGAGCACACACTTCGTACCAGGTACTACGGTCATGCTTTACAATGGTATCTCATTGAATCCCCACATTAACTTCCTGGATAATGTCTATTGTCATTTTCATTTTAGAAATGAAAGCAAGAAGCTCCAAAATATTATTTTGGTAATTGATCCCAGAACTCCTTGGGTGAAGTAGCTCGAAAGAGAATTCTGTATACAAATAGATCATATTAGTATGAAAAGTTACCTTTGGCTCACAAAGTATTAATTATGTGGATAATTTGACAATATCTTTTTATTTTGTTTTTAGCTTCAGCTCCCAATTTCTCCAAAAATCCTATTAAAAGAAATTCAGTTGCTCAGGTCGGTGGGGATATTGCTATTGACTGCAAGCCCACAGCTTTCCCCAAGGCAGCGATCTCTTGGAAGAGAGGATTGGAGAGCTTGAGACAAAGTAAAAGGTAACTCAATATTAATATTATTTAATTTTTTAAAATACTTCACAACACATTGTTTTACAGAATTTTAAATTTATCATGTCTTCCAAAAATAATAAACTTTCAAACGAATATCCCAAGATCTCAGGCTTTTTCAGTGAGAATAAAACTAAAAGGATCTTGCATAGCTAAGAACTCTATGTGTAATTTGGCTGCAATATCATCAGTGCATGCACTTGTAATACATGTATTTATAAAACTCCTTTAAGATCATTTTATATATTCAGCTTGAAGGCTTTTTCCCAATGTAGCCTGCTGAGAAATCAGTGAGAAGAACATTACACAATGGAGGGAGATATTTGCATGCACACACCTGGTGTTGTGGTTTTTAAATAGTCACACAGGTGTTCGCCCCATGACAAAATGAATTCACCACATGAAAAAAATGTAGAGTGGTTCCTGTAGAGAAAGAAGAGAGGTTTTCTTGCAGTTGAAAAATCCTGGATCAGCACTGGTGTGTTTTCTTGCAGAGTTTGGCAGAACAAACTAGGAATTTTTGGGTTTTTTCCCCCCTCAACTTAGACTACATTTCATTCCATTGTGCTGTGTACACACGCAATGTGTATATGCAGTGACAAGGTCATGGTGAGCTCTATTTAAACGGGTCACTGCATGATCAGCTTCACACTGAGCGCTTTCCATGCAGGACTCATTGTCATAATGATGAAAATAGCTCCTTTAGCAAAATCCAATGTGCACCTCTCAAACAACGCATGTTATGAGCTCCTGTACATATTGACCTAGACAGGATACATGATGAATGAGGAAAGCATGTGAGGGAAAAGATCACTAAAAAGTTGAACTATGGCTTCCAAAGAAAGTCCTGTGAAGACCTAGAACACGAGCGCCACACCTCAACGGACGTTCACATCTCAGGTGACAGCTGAATGGGGGTTTTTTGGGTGGGAAAGGTCATCTTGTTATTCTTCCAGTATTTTAGGAAATGCTAGAATTTCTGAATTTAGCATTAAGTTTCCCAAGCCTGAAAGAGTGTCCATAGGCTGGATGCAGAGACATTGTTTTGTCAGTTCTGATTCCATAAAAGCGCCTATGAGTAAAGAAGAGAGGAAAAGTAGTAATAGTAACAATCAGGGCACTCTGTTGATGGTATAGAGCAGTGATTCTCAACCTTCCTTATGCTGCGACCCTTTAATACAGTCCCTCATGTTGTGGTGACCCCCAACCATAAAATTATTTTCGTTGCAACTTCATCACTGTAATTTTGCTATGGTTATGAATCGTCAGGTAAACATCTGATATGTAGGATGTATTTTCACTGTTACAAATTGAACATAATTAAAGCATAGTGATTAATCACAAAAACAATATGTAATTGTATATCATGAGATATTTATTTCTAATTACAAATAAATGAAATTTTATCTTGAAGCATGGTGTAGCTTGGGTAACAGTCTTCACACCTGGTACTCGTATGTGGGCATATCTACATGTGGGCACACCCTCCTGGAGACTGATAGGGAGCCGTGTCTTGGTTCCATCAGAAATATGTGTTTTCCAATGGTCATAGGTGACCCCTGTGAAAGAGTCATTCCACCCCCAAAGAGTCATGACCCACAGATTGGGAAACACCACTCTAGGGCATCTAGGGCACTGCATATTTTATGGGCCTATATACTCTTTGGCTAAAAGCTGATCTCTAGGAGTGGGTTCAGTCCCAACTGTGAAGACTGTATAAGGACAGACTTGGGGTTTCCTCCAGACTCTAAGAGACCAGTAAGTCAGGTCTTTTTTTATGATTCTGA